GAGAATTAAAATCAGGAACTCAAATGTGGTTGTACAATTATTTTTAAAGAAACATCAATTATTCTCAGTAGCTAATGGTGGATGCAACTCAAGTGCCTATCAGTGAGTTAAAAATTCACTTAAAAACACATATTGCATATATCAAGCATACATACACACAGAGATATAGAAGTACTGCTTACCTTTGAAAAGGATGGGGATTCTGACTGTAGTAAGGTGGATGAAACTTGAGAACATTATGCTAAGTGAAAAGTGAAATAAACTAGTCACAAGTCCACTTATATGAGGTACTTAAAGGTCAAATCCCTTCTTGAGCACTCTCGGGAGGGGGTCAACAGGGGGTTGGGGCAAGTTCCCGACTTACAAAAGCCCCAAGAGCCATACTTGCATCCCAAGAGCTGCTGCCATGCCTCTGGTAGACTCCATCATGAGCTCCTCAAGAATGCTAACCTGCTGAAAAATTTCAGGTACACTGAAAAAAAATTTTTTTTGGCTGAAAAATCTGGGCCTTCTTGAAGTGCAATGGGTGACCTCCCCATCCCTCAAAATACTTCCCCAGAGGCCCCAGCAGCCACGTCCACATTTCCCCACCGTCCCTCCCATGTAAGCTCATCTACCATCTTTAAGCTCATCTACTGGCCTTGTTCCAGAGACTTATAAAGAGCGCAATCAGCCACAAAAAAAAGTTCTGGCTGAGACCTCTGGGGTGTTTCAGGATGGGGTTGGGCCACGTTTCTGCCTTACCAAAGCCTGGCAGCTGCACTCATGATCCAACAGTTGCTGCCATGCCTCTGGCCATACTGTTCAGTTAAATATTCTGGGTTTTCTGGAGTGTGGCTGCATTTGTGGCTGTGTGACATCTCCAGCTTCTGCAACACTAACATCCCAGTAGTACACCGAATTGCATGGAAATGTAACATAGAAGTCAACTAATCTCGACCACCAAAAGCATTAACATAGAAGGCTTAACCTGCAGCAACATCTTGGTAAACCTGGTAAATTTTCTCTCGCTGAAGTATTTTTGATTATTTCATTAGCCATTTATTGTTAAAAAGCAATATAAAATAAATAATTGAGGTCCTGCTACGGGGGCAGACTTGAGGGGTGGCTGGAAAAATGGAGACAGTGGTCGAGAGATGATGACAGTAGTGGTGGTATTGGTGTCGGAATATTGAATGCCTGTAACAAATCATCATGAACAAATGTAAACCATGGTTTAAACATGCTGGGGCATGGGGAAAAAAGAACTTTTTTTGGGTCATACCCAGCGATGATGCTCAGGGGTTACTCCTGGCTCTGCGCTCAGGAATTACTGCTGTTGGTGCTTGGGGGACCATATGGGATGACGGGGATTTAACCCACGTTGGCTGCATGCAAGGCAAATGCCATACCTGCTGTACTATCACTCCAGCCCCGGAAAAAGAACTTCTTACAGGTTTAAAACTTTTTAAAAAAGCAGTCAAATCCATAAAGTCAAACCAAAAGCATAATGTTGCTTTCCAAAGATTCAGAGTGGGAGGGTAGGTGGTTAATGGGTACTGGATGTTAGTTTTGCAAAGCAAATGGAACTCTGGACATGGATGGTTGTTATGACTACACAATAGTATGAATGTCTATAACACAACCTGACTGTACACTTAAACTTGTGTAGGATGGGGCCAGAGAGATTGTACGGTGAGCACTTGCCTTGCATGTGGCCAACCCAGGTTCAATCCTTGGTACCCCATATTGTCCCTTGAGCACCTACAGGACTGATTGATCCTTGAATGCAGAGCTAGGAATAAACCCTGAACATCAATGTGTATGACCAAAAAACCCCAAAACAAAACAAAAAGGTAGGATGGCAAATTTTTTGATCATTGTATTTTACCAAAATTTTGGTGGGAGGTGGGCAGGGGTTCTTTGGACCATACCTAGAGGTGGTCAGGCCTTAGTACTGGTTCTGTGCTCAGCGAGTACCCCTAGCGGTCCTTGGGGGAATCCTGAGAGGTGGGGGGATCAGATTCAGGTAAGCCATCTTCAAGGCAAGTCTGCGATTTGAGGGGCCATCTGTGTAGACTGGGGATGGATAACTGATTGTAATGGGAGTCTGCCTGAGCCAGAAATGAGAGTGAAGTACCAGGTACTACGACCTTTGAAGATATTTCCCTGACATATTTTACTTCATTTAAGCCCTTTAAGAATGGACTTAATTCTTTGGTTTCTTTTTTTTTTTTTTTTTGGCTCAAATTTCCTATTGGCTCTCAAAAAATTTATAGGGAGCAATATATTTAGTATTGACTTAAATTCCTTATTGGTACTTCAGTGTTCCCCAGGGTTTCCATTTTTGCAAATGATGGAAGGAAGCTTGTAAAATAACTGACCTTTGGAATTTGTAGTTCATAATCTTAAGTAGTTATGGAGATAAGATGTAAAGGTCGGCTAGTTTCCATTTTGCATCAGGCAGGCTTTTGTAAGTCTGCATATATCAGGATGTCTACAGCATTGCAGTGCCACACGATCATAGGCAGCAGTCGGCGGTCACACAATATCCATTATTTTTTATTTCCTGGAAATATAAATAAAAGTTATAAATAAAACTTATTTAAAAAGTTAATAAAATGTAAAGTTCAGTGAAGGTAGCAGAGCCTGTTATTTAAAAAGCTCCTAGTAAAAGGGGTAATGAGATAGAATACTATCATTATAGTCTGCTTTTTTTTTCTTTTTCTTTTTCAGTATTTGATGTTCTTTGCATAGTACTCATTTATTAACTGAATCTTTTAAAATTTTTTTATTATTAGTGAAACACCATGAGGTACAGTTGTAGATTTACAAATTTTTGTGCTTGGATCTCGGTCATACCATGATCAAATACCCATCCCTCCACCAGTGCCCATTTTCCACCACCAGGATAATATCCCTCCCCCCCCATTAACTGAATTTTTAATGATTCCTTTGCCTATCACTATTGGAGAGAAATTAATACAATGAGAGTATTAATGAGAGTGCCAATATTTTAGTTGCTTCTGTCCTAGATATGTTCATAGTATCAGCTTTTAATCATTTTTGGTTTATGATTTTTACATGTCACTATACTCGTATCACTTGTCCCGTTGTTGATCGATTTGCTTAAGTGGGCTCCAGTAACATCTCCATTCATCCCTGTCGCGTGCTGGTGTATCCGAATGGCATATTTGGGGCTCTTTCAGGGTCAGGGGAATGAGACCTGTTATTGCTATTTTTTTTTTTTTTGGCATATCAAATATGTCACGGATAGCTTGCCAGGCTTTGCCGTGCAGGAGGGATACTCTAGGTAGCTTGCTGTGCTCTCTGAGAGGGAGAAACTGCATCGCTCTCTTCCGGGAGCTTTGTTTTATAGTCTCTGGATCTTGGCCATTGAGGAGATTACATGGTGCTGGGGGAAGTTTGTGGGTGTGATTGCCAAGCTCCTGGAAGACGGGGGATCTGGGTCGAGGGATCCAGTCCCGGTCTGAGCAGGCCTGGAGATCTCAGCCACGGGACCTGCATACCCGGGTTCCTCTGCCAGTTCCTTCATGTGTGAAGCTCATCTGAGCATGTGGAGAGTGGCCTTGAGTTTGGCTGTGGCTGGGTTCTGGAGATTTTTGGCAGAATCTCATGCCCCCACACTAGGCTGTCTTCACCGGGGCGCCTCGGAGGGGGGTGGGTTGAGTTTCCCTCCCCGCCCCAAGCAAAGCCTTGGCAGCCAAAAACCTCCTTACATGTCACTAATAAGCAAAATTATTATGTTTATTTGGCCCACGTGCTCCTAAAAGTTCTGACCTGTCCAGAGGGCTTACCCACTTGCATGCAGTTTACTTGGTTTCTAGAGCACTGCCAAAAGTGATTCCTGCGCACAAGAGCCAGGAGTAAGCCTAAAGCACAGCTGGATATGTCTTTGCCCACCCCACAAAAAATGTTCTGACAAACCAAGTCAACATTATCGACTGAAAGTAACTTTAAGTACCTGCCTATGTGAAAGAAAAATATGATTTCTGGCCTTTAAAGTTTTACACTCAAAGATTGATAAGAGTCATGTTATTGGTAGAAAGCAGATCTATCAGTAAGAAAACACATGAACACATGTAATATGCATTTTATATCACTTTTGCATATGCATAGATTTTGAAATAAATATATCGTTTCTTATAGATTGTTCTCCTTTGTATGTGCTAACTTCTTGTTCTTTCTCTGAACTATGTGAAAACCTTAAGTTTTTCTTTAAGGATTGCTTAAAGACCCCAGAACAGGTCATTGCTTGTCCACATGAGGCTTAACCTTAATGAAACAAATTGCTACTCTTGGTCTGAGTTGTCCCTTTAGTTGTTTTGGTTTGGGGGTTACTTCTGGAGATGCTCAGGGTGTTGAGGATATGGGGTGTTGAGGATTGAACCTGAGTCAAGCACATGCGAAGCAAGCCCCCTACCCATGCTAGCCCCACTGGTTGTTTTGGACTAATGGTGCCAGACCTGAAAATAGATCCTGTTTTGTGTACTTTTCACTAACACCTTGCATTTGAAGATGGGCAAGTTGAAGTAATGAATGTTTTCAATTTATTCTGGATAATGTTGTTTAAAATATAATCATTCTGTCATATTACTGCGCTTTAGCGATAGTACAAGTGGTAGGGCACGTGGCCAGCCTGGCTGACCCGAGTTTGATTCCTCTGCCCCTCTCAGAGAGCCCAGCAAGCTACCGAGAGTATCTTGCCCACATGGCAAAGCCTAGCAAGCTACCCATGATGTGTTCGATATGCCAAACACAGTAACAACAAGTCTCATAATGGAGATGTTACTGGGCCCTCCCGAACAAATCGATGAACAACGGGAGGACAGTGCTACAGTGCTACAGTCATATTACTAAAAGCGTTGTTTTAGTCCTCTGAGAGAAGTAGAATCTCTGGGTCCAGTGAAATAGTTAATATCTGTAACAGTAAATTTTACATCCTGGAAGTCTGACATAGCCGTAACGTGTTTGTTTTGTTGCTTTGTTTTGTTCTCAAGGAACCTCAAACCAGTTACCCAGCTCTATGTCAGTGTGGACGCTAGCACCAAAGAAAGCCTGAAAAAAATTGACCGTCCACTCTTCAAGGATTTCTGGCAAAGATTCCTTGATAGTTTGAAAGCCCTGGCAACAAAGGTAAGACTTACGATATCTTTAAATGAGAAACGAAGAGAAAGCAAAAGTACAGTTGTCCTCCCTCATCTGTGGCTTCATTTTTCTCTGTGTCAGCTATAGTCTGAAAATACACATTCAGTGTGGCAGTTTGAGCACTGTTGATGATTGCGAAGGGGAGCCACCGAGCTCCAAGGTAGTTTGAGAGCTCTCTCCCTGGCTGGCTCGTCAAAATGTTGTCTGTGGGATTAGTGCCAAGAGTTCAGGTCTGGCAAAGTCTGTACTGTTTCCTGCCTGGTGTGGACACAACGTCCTGGCCACCTTGCTGTGGCAGCCATCAAGCTCCCCGAGTTTCACTTGACCTGTGCAGTGTGGCAGCTGGTGACCAAAATCCCTGTCGCGAAGATGTTCAGCTGGCAGGGACTGGCTCAGGCCAATAGAGGTTCTGATGCTCTTTGCAGAAAAAGAAATCAGTTCCTGACTCCACCATTGTCTAAGCCCTTTATCTTTTGCTGCAGAAAAGATGGTGAAGTAAATGCATTTTCATGAGGTACTGATTCTAAGGAAAATGTGGATTTATCCAGTGAGAGAGAAAGCCTGGAAATTAAAGGAGATTTTGCACACTAAAGATAAACATCTACACCCCCAGAGATGAAGAAAAATTATCCATTATCCATGTCTATATATGTGTATATATATATATATATTTTTTTTTTTTTTTTGGTTGTGAAGTTGTTTTTTGTAGTGCCAGAGAATGAACCTAGGGTTCCATACATGCAAGGCAATACAGGCTGTATTTCTGTCACGTGGGTTTTTATGTTGTCTTTTTCCCAAGCTCCCTTAAGTTGGGCTAAGGGTCCTTGTTAGGGCCCATCAGAAAGGATTTGCAGTTCTGGTGGCTTCTCCTGGACAGTTTGCCTTCATTCGGAGTCGGCAGCAGAGGAACTCCTCTTCAGAGTATATCTTGTTTCTCCAAACATTTTTGAGTGTATGTCATTCTGTCTCCAAACATTTCTTGGTTTTATTTCTCCCTGAAATGTACTACCAAGGGGTTCCCCAGTGATGACTGGGTCTGTCTTGAGAGAGGTCCTAGATTCATAACTTTCAGTGAAGTATATTATTAAAATCATTCTATTTTATTTTTTTTTTTTTTGATATGCCAAACACAGTAACAACAAAGTCTCCAATGGAGACGTTACTGGGCCCGCTCGAGCAAATCGACGATCAACGGGAGGGCCTTTACCTTACCTCTATTTTATTACTAACTTTAATCTCTTATCACATCTAAATTATAAATTCAACTTTGTTATAGGTATACGTTTTTTAAAAAACAGTGTACATATGGGGGCTGGAGCAATAGCACAGTGAGTAGGGCTTTTGCTTTGCAAGCGGCCAGCCTGGGTTCGATTCCCAGCATCCCATATAGTCCCCCAGCACTACCAGGAGTAATTCTTGAGTGCAGAGCCAGGAGTAACCCCTGAGCATGCCTGGTGTGACCTAAAATGCAAAAAACAAACAAACAAAACAGTGTACATATGATTTAGTCCTATCCTAGTTCATGGATTTCCTGTGGGTGTTAGAACGTATCCCCTACAAGAGGGTTGCTTTTCCTTTTTTTTTTAAATTGTATTTTAGAACAAACACTGTCCAAACTGTGTTTGTTCTAAAATACAATTTAAAAAAAAAAAAAGGAAAAGCAACCCTCTTGTAGGGGATACGTTCTAACACCCACAGGAAATCCATGAACTAGGATATTTTAGAAAGCTAAGTAAAACAAAATATTTTAGACTTCCACTTATGCTATTTAATAAGTTTTCCATAGGTCTGTGGTTATCTGCTTTTTGTGTAGTATTTATCCTTCATGTCTTTAGAAATGCAGTCCTAAAGTTAACTGCTAAAACATGCCAAGTATTAGCATGTACAATATTAGAATAGTTTACTAAAAATAGTACATATTTCAGTATAAAGTTGATCTTGAATTAGGAGATCCATATTTACTACCTGATAAGGAACTCAGGTCTCAGAATATCTAAATCTCCTGCCCATTCCTGCATGTTAGCTCTTCTGAAGTGTTCTTTTATGGCTTATTTTCTTTCCTGTTGTTTAAAATTTAAAATAGCCTTGTGATTTGCCTTTTCCATGAATGTCACATCTTGTTGGTGTTTCTACTTGCTTCTTTTCTTGGACCTATTTTCCCTTCTGTGTTCTCTTTGCATCTGCCCTCTATTTCATGTTCTATCCAAATTGGATTGATAAAGAGAATCACTTGTGGAGCTTTAAACATTTGGAATCTTCTGCTGCAACTGGGATTTGAGAATCTATTTTAAACATCTCGGGTGACTTTTGATAAACAGCCATCGATGGGAATTTTTGTCCCAAGAAGCTACTCCATATTTTATTTGCTGGTATCGATTTTAATAATCCTAATTCATCTGTCCCCAGTGGATGGTCCTGATCCCACTGTGGAACTTTATTCCCCAGAACACTTTTCCTTCCTTGCTAAGGTTTCCATTTCTGTAGATATGTCCAGCACTTTTTTTGAGTCTTTGATACCTCCTCAGTACCTCGAATGCTCTTTTTCTATTTATTTATTTATTTATTTAATTTTTGCTTTTTGGGTCACACCTGGCAATGCACAGGGGTTACTCCTGGCTCTTCACTCAGGAATTACTCCTAGTGGTGCTCAGGGGACCATATGGGATGCTGAGGCTCGAACCTGGGTCGGCTTCATGCAAGGCAAACGTCCTACCCGTTGTGCTATCGCGCCAGCCCCTCGAATGCTCTTTGACTTACAGAAACTCTGTGCAGCTTTCAAGACTGATTTTACATTACCTATGTTATGAAGCTGACAGTTTGCTTGCTCTTTTTCCCTTCTAACTTTTAAAGCACTAGTCTGTTTTAGCCTAGCTTCTCTCTCCCCGACTGGATTCCTTACTCTAGCCTGAATTATACACTGCGTCTCACACAGCACATGCTACAATATTGCTAAAATGTTTCTTTAAAAGAATGAAAGGGAACACTTCCAATCTCTTTGCTGTTAAGGTGCACATTTTCTTGACTATTCAGCTGATTAAATCTTTTCTCCCTAGTTTATGCATGAGGCAGTTAAATCAGTAGTGCCTTTTTTAAGAAAGAAAAAATATATCCTTTTTTTAAAAATCTTTATGTATCTAGCCCGCACGGCAAAGCCTGGCAAGCTACCCGTGGTATATTCAATATGCCAAACCCAGTAACAACAAGTCTCAGAATGGAGACGTTACCGGGCCCACTTGAGCAAATCGATGAACAAAGAGAGGACAGTGCTACATTTATAAATTGGGCCAGAGCGATGGCACAATGCGTAGGGTATTAGGCTTGTACACGGCTGACCCGGGTTCGATTCTTCCGCCCCTCTCGGAGAGCCTGGCAAGCTACTGAGAGTATCCCGCCCGCATGGCAGAGCCTGGCAAGCTCCCCTGGCGTATTCTGTATGCCAGAAGCAGTAACAACAAGTCTCACAATGGAAACATTATTGGTGCTCACTCGAGCAAATCAATGAACAATGGGAGGACAGTGCTACGGTGGACAGTACTATTTATAAACCAGGTAGGCTATTTGCTTCTTGGGGTCCCAAAATCTCTGTCTTTAGATTTCACCTTCAGCTCTCTCCGCTTCAGTTATTGCCAGTTCGGGAGGTGCATAATGTAGAAATTGGAATGGATTGAGATGGGAGCAACAGCAGGAGTTGGCAGTACCAAACACATCTGAGATTGTTATATATGCTGCTCAGTTGAATCAGAGGGTAGGAGATAAGTCTGCATTAGCAGAATGGCTTCAAAGCTTCCCTTTTTCCACTAAAGAAACTCTCTTACCTTGAACTCACAGCCTTTGAGTGTCCAGTTGAATTACAATTACTCTGGATTGATTCATTGATAGTAAGGAATGCACCAATTAAAAACACTGTAATGTTTTCAAACCGATGAACTTCTTAAATATAAGCTCATTATGTCCATGTATTTCTAGTTGAAATAGTTTTCGTGGTCTATTTAGACTGGGTACCTGCAGATTAGGGCAATTGCTTTTTAAGTATTTTGTAGCAATTAGAATTAATTCAGGATCCCGGAGGAAAAAAAAAAAAAAGAAAAAACGGGTTCCAAAAAGAGCCGAGTTCACCCGCAAGTTCCAGATGGAGTAGGTGCCGCATCCCGCCTCCCCCAGATGGAACCCCGGTGACCAGAAGCCTCTACAAACACAGCTCGAGTATGCGGGAACGAGGACCTTTTCTCAAAACCGCGCGGCCGCTTACTCGGCCGCGCGACATCTCTCTATATACAAAGTGATCAATGAGAAGTAAACCACCCAATCTTTCTCCCTGAAAGTCAGAGTTAAGTTTGGAGCACGGCCACAGCCCCAGAAACACAAGGACTTAATGCAGAACCCAGCAGCTTAGAGCAGAAAAGTGAAAGGACTATGCGTTAATCCAGGCCATCAAGTCTGCCAGAGGGGAAAGGGTGTTGCCCCATTCGCCCTCTCTTCTCTGGAAAGAAGGATGGCGGCCGCATGGGAGCCTTGTGGACAGCAGGTATGAGCCGGGGGTGTGGGGGCGACTAAAACCTCATGGGAAGGGGGGCGTTCCGGTCCGTCCTTCACGCCCTACCGAGGTCACCAGTTGCCCCCCACGAGCGGCTCTCCAGCACGGCCACAGCCCCAGAAGCACAAGGACTTAATGCAGAACCCAGCAGCTTGAAGCAGAAAAGTGAAAGGACTATGCGTTAATCCAGGCCATCATGTCTGCCCGGAGGGGAAAGGGTGTTGCTCCCTTCCGCCCTCCTCCCTCTGGAAAGAAAGATGGCGGCCACATGGGAGCCTTGTGGACAGCAGGTATGAGCCGGGGGTGTGGGGGCGACTAAAACCTCATGGGAAGGGGGGCGTTCCGGTCCGTCCTTCACGCCCTACCGAGGTCACCAGTCACCCCCCACGAGCGGCTCTCCAGCACAGCCACGGCCCCAGAAGCACAAGGACTTAATGCAGAACCCAGCAGCTTG